TCAGTTTTCTGTTTGTACCAAGAGGAACGAATACTCTCTCCTACCGTAGCCCAGACAGTTATGGCTGCATATCACCTTCTTTAGAAGCAGGAACTGTCTTCCTTCCACCCTCCTCCCTGCTGTGTCGTTGATGACCGCCCCCACCAGTCCATCCCCCCACCCTCAGCGTGGCCCCCCTGGCCAGGGCTGAGCACAGGGAGAGCCTTTCCTCCTGCGCCACCACTCTGTTCCTGCAACTCCGCCCCCCTCGACCCCCATGAACTTGAAGATGCAGGAGCCCAAGGCACCAGTAGGAGACGGCCCCAGAGTCACAGCCCTGCCTGCTGCCTCCCTCCTCGAAGCCTGCATGGAGGGAGGGCGGCCTCCCTGGCAGCACATACGTGCCAGCACTGGTCCTTCCTCAGAGCCTTCTGCACACGCCAAGCAGCAGCTCCTGACGTCACCTTTCCACTAGGTTTTGCGCTTTTCCCTGTCATGGAAAGTCTTCCGGAATGCTGGCCATTGAAAACAAGGCCACACTGACTGCATCAGAAACAAAATATAATGCAATGGATGCCGTTTATCTTGTAAAAGTAGTAGCGTTTTGTATATGATTCAAATGACCTCGGGGGAAGAGGGTAGGTCCGCATCTAGGACTCCTGAAACATGGGCTGAACAAGGGGCAGAATCTCTCCCTTCTGGGCGGCGAGTTCGGCTACCAGCCTCTTGCTTTCAGTTCTGAGCCCAGGGCCTTGCACGTGGTAGACGAGTGCTCTAGCCCTGCGCCATATCCTCAGCCCCCAAACCACTAACTTTTAAATTGAAGATCAGGAGAAAAAGGAACCAGATAGGAACACTACATCTCTGTATGCATGGAGGCTATCATCCTGGCCTTTACTTATTCCACGTCACCAACATGAGCGGAATCCTCTATCTTCCCATCCAGCATTACCTGAGAGATTCCTTACTTTCTACAAACAAGCTGCACAACTATCTCAAGTTCTTATGAAATATCAATAATTAGGACTTGTTTCTATAATTAACAAATAACCAGTAATACTGATGCAGGTCTCAAATGCTACAGGAAGAAATGAAGTACAAGACAATGAAAGGCAATGAGCACTGTCTTCTAAATCTAGAGTCTAACATGTTCTTTCCTGTTCCTTATAAGCTTTGTTAGGAACCCCCGGAGACAGGGCAAGACACTGTAGGAATATGTTTGATATATAGTTGGATTAAATAACAACCTAATATATCAAACATATCACACAGAGGCCTGCAGCAAAGGCATCCAGGATTGACCGGGCTTGAGAATAGGCACAGCAGGGCTGCAGGGGGTGCGCGCCAAGGCACCCAGCCTGTCTGTGGAGCCCAGGTCTGTCTGCAGGCGTGGTAACGGCGGCAGGAGCGATGCGGTGGCACGTGCGTGCCCCGGAGCTCCCGACAGTCTCATCTTGCCCTGACGCCCTTTCCCCAGAAGAACCCTGGATTCGGCAGTGTGTAGTTGGCCCCTATGCACCTCTAGGAGACCCCCGTAAGAAGAGATGGTCACATGTCAAAGGCCTGAGGTGGGAGTATGCCAGCACTGTCCTCATGAACTGCTCCTAACAACAGGCCACGGGAGAATGCGGTCACACGAGCAGAGCCGGTGAAGCAACATCATCACCCCTCCCCCGAGCTGCTCATCGACTACGCTGCCCAGTTGTGAGCCGAAGGTGTTCACAGGCGCATGCGTGAATACACCTGGGCGGTGGGGTGCACAGAGCTCGCTGCAGGATAGGGACTTAATAGCAACCATTCACTTATGGGACCTGGAGGATCCTTTTAAGGTTACAGAAGAGGATGAAGAGAGATAATTAACTTCAACAGACTGGTTGGTAGGTACCTGGAGTCAGACTATTACTCTTTTTAAAACTGGAGCACTAAATGGCTTTATAAAGGTAAGGTAGATACTCTATTCCACGTAGATGCTTTAATACAGTAGATGGCTCTCCCAGGCAGAAACCAAAACCATGCTTTGGGTGGATGGATTCTTCAGAACAGTTCTGTGGACAGTACCCAAGTGACAGGAGCCCTGGTCCATCCGGAGAGCCAACAGATCCTTGTAAAATGTTCTAGAAGCACCTTTCTTCACATGAAGATGAGAGTCACCCACAGTTTGTGGCTGTAAGTCATGACTCAGGCTGTGAGCTCTGACCTTCCCAAAGGGCCCTCAGCCCACCTGTAAATCACAAGGGTGGGCGACTCAGAGCAGAGTCCGGGGTCCTTACCCAGCTACCGCCGCAGTCATCACTAGTGTCTGAAGTGTGACTACCGCATTACAAAAGCTTTAGATGCAGACTTCTCCACCTTGCAGGCTCTGCCTTACCCTTGTACGTTCTGCATCTACCTCCTTCACAGCCAAGCACTTTTTAGCCACAATCGCAAGCACATAAGCGAGTATCATTTCTGCCCTCACTTCCTGGTGCTACCCAGCCGCAGCACCCAGCACTCCTAACAGCCGCACCACATTCCTTCCAGGAGACTGACGGCCCGAAGGACACAAGCAAACCGCAAAGGCTCAGGGGACCAGCCCGGCCTCCTCTGATGGCACAGGCGGAGTCCGCACTCTCCTCAGCCAGGAAGGTTCTTGGTTCCTCACGCACCTTTCACAAAGATGAAGGAAGCTAACCCATTCACAGTACCTGGGAGGCTGGCACACGCCTTGCCCTGGGTCAGTGTGCCCCCTACCTCACCTATGGGACAACTCTCATCTTGGGCGTTTTTGTACCAAGGAAGATAAAGGTCCCAGAAGAAGCTTATTTCAGTGATGATGAAGGCGGCAACGTGACGTAGTTCCCATGTCCCGAGCCGTCTTGTGTGTCCCTATATAATCAAGTGTCACTGTATCAGCTAACTTAACAACCATCTCATGGGGTAGGGACTCTGGGAACACTGTTTCTGAATCAAGAATCATGGAACTCCCAGACACCACTGCAGGCCCTTCCCACTTACGGGAGGAAGCCTCATGTGATAAACCAAGGCAGAGAGAGGCAAGGCAGCGCCGAGCCTTTAAGTGGTGGTCAGTGGGCGGTCTCACACAATTTTCATTCCTGACGAAGTTGATTTACAACACAGACACAAAGCGGCGATCCGGAAAACAGATCTGTCCCTACATACATTCTTAACTCTGGAGTTTACAGGAAAAACCTCAGAAAAATGTCAGACAACTCAGGACCCTCAGGTTAGAGGCCAGCAGAGAGAACCCTCGTGAATCCTAAAATGAGATGCCGAATCTCTTAAGTTCATTTAAAAAAAAAAAAAAAAATAACAGCGTCTCAAAGCTTTTTTATGATTCACGTCTTACATGAGAATTACAAATCCTTTGTGTCTCACTCATTGCTGCCTAATAGCATTGTGTAGACATTTCTCATGACAACATATGCAGCTTGACAATGTTTATTGTTTTTTAGCCCAGGTCTTGTGTGGTAAAGCTGGCCCTGAGCTTGCAGCAATCCCCTTTCCCCCTGGGATTATAGGCGAGTGCTACCACGCCTGGATGTTCTATGTAATATTTAAATGGCTAAGTAATATTCTATTCCTTTTTTAAATTTTAAAGAGAATTTAAAAAAATGATACAGAATTTCAAAACATGATGAAAGGAAATTAACAATGGTTGTTACACTGCATATTGTCATCTTCAAAGTAGTGGTTCAGATTACCAGATACAGGCATACAAAACTGATCAAACTATTACGCATTAACTGTTCCTTTCAATAAATCCATAGAAATTAGTAGTATGATATCTTAGCTATCTCGTGTGTATGTACATATGTAGTTCTCCTTCCTTCCTTCCTCCTCCCCCCCTCCCCGCTGTCCCTCATGCCCGTTATTCTTTCAGTGTAATACGGAATTACATCTTGATGAAACACATTTAAATAACTTTACAAAGGCGGGGTGACAGTTAGTACGCCAGTTCTGAGGGCCAGAGGTTTTAAGGATGCCCCCCACATCAGCAGACTCCTGCTCTCCACGTGAAGCCATCCTGGGCAGTGCTGCTGAGTGGACAGGTACACTTCAGTGTTCAGGCCTAGCCTTCACCTCCTTAAAAGTCAGGGTAGGACTCTACGCTCACCCAAGCATGGGTCTGTGTGTGTTTTGGGGAAAGAACTAGATTTTTTTTTTCTCCTCCCTTCCTTGTTTTTTTTTTTTTTTAAAGATTTCATTTCTTAAGGTACATGGGCCCATGGAAGGAAAGTCAGTTACCGGAACCATAAGGACTTGCTTGAACCGGGAAGTGGCCATGGGGGTGGGGTGGGGTGCCGAGCAGCTCACCAGGGCAGCCCAATCTAAAAGCATCTTTCTTTGCAGTGTCTTTTTCTCAGAACACACGCTCTTGGTGGTAACTTTTAAACATTTATCTAGATGACAGAGCTTGGTGGAAAACATACCAGCTCCCCACATCCCCCAGTATTCTTGCTGTTGGGTCGTCCCATTTTGAGGTTCACATTGCTCCCTGTTGATTTTAAAAAGAGAGAGACCCAGCACTGTGACCTCCACGTAAAAGGCATAATGGAAACCAGAGAATTCAAGGCTGACAATCCCATCTACGGTAACAAACTTTGGCCAGGAAGCAGCCACCACCTGCTCCATGTAATGGAACGAAATTAATTTTTTTTTTTTTTTTCCGGAACCGGGGATCGAACTCAGACCCTTGCGCTTGCCAGGGAAGCACTTATTCCACTGAGCCATCTCCCCGGCCAATGGAACGAAATTAAGATCGCAAATGCCCGGATTCTCCCTCTGGACACCTCCAGTGTGCTTTTGGGCGCTCAACTTGGAGCAGTCACCACCCACTGGTTTTCCTCTACACTGCACAGAACGTGCTGGGCAGGCTGGGCAGGTTTACGGCTTGTTGGTTTAACCCCAGAGAAGGAGACACGCTCCTGCCGCACCCCGAGCTCTGTGTGACACCCACTGGGAGACAGGCAGACCTGCGGACGACCGGACTGGCGAGCCACATGCCCTCAAAGAACACTCACTTTGGGTTTCGCTCTTGGCTTCAGCTGCTCCAACTTCTTGGCAGCAGCCTCAATGGACGCTGCAGCCCCCAGTAACTCGGTTTCTGCGATGACGGTTGGGTCTTCGGGGTCCACCCACTCTGTTCCTATAATCAGTCCAATAAAAGGTCATTCCTGGTCAGTGCGGCCATCAGGGCCCTGGCTTGCTTACGATGTCTGAAAACCCCACGAGCCACTGTCCAGGGGAACTTGCCCCTAGCACCCACAAACGCCATCTGATGCAGGAGTAAGAGGAGAGCTAAGCGGCTCTGCAAGTTGTGCGCAGCCCTACCCACGGGAGCAGTGACTGAGTCTCCCCCTGCCTTCTAACTCAGAGCTCAGAGGGGAAGAAGCATCCTCAGGAGACTCACGGCCGCCCTCCTCCTTCAGGAATGCGTGAGGCCGCACCCTCCACCCTCTACCTGTAACGCCAAGAAACCTTCCCTGGGCAGAGGACTGCTTCTCTATAAGCACAGAGGGCTGTACACACGCAGTGTGGGTTCTAATCGTGAGGGTGATATTTGAATGAGAACAAATATCCTGATGAATGAAAATGCAGGTAAATATAAACGACCAGGAGCAAGCAGTTCTGGAAGGGATTATACCATCTCAGGAGAAATACAGTGGCACCCTGGCTCACAACTGTTTTTGTTTGTGAACCTTTTGGTCTGGCAAAAGCTTGTTTTGTTCGCAAACTCTGTCAGGTGACAAATGTGCAGAAACACAGCTGTGGCCATCTCTTCCAAAATCGTGGAACAGATTACGTGTGAGCCGAGGTACCACTGCACTAACACACAAGCTGGAGAAAACAGTAGGGAGGCTGTTCCTTTTCACAACTAACTCACTGCAGAGAGCACCCCACTGCAGGCCTGCGCCGGCCGCGCTCAGCCTCCCTCGGACCCCAGGCCTACACAACGAAGAGGAAGGGAGAGGGGCCCACCTACCTTTCATCGCTTCTGCAGCTTGGATGAGCTCGGTGACGGCGCCAGCAACGCGCTTGGAGAAGGCAGCCAGCTGATGCTTGAGCTCTGGGGTCGGTTTCTGAAGGATCTACAGGGGGAGAAGTCAAACGCATGAGGGCCGTGGAGCCACTGTGACAGGAGACACTTCTGGTGGACCCAGCATCAGGGACCCTGGTTCTAAGCTGCAGCTCTGTCTGTTTACTGACAACAAGATCGGGGGGGGGGGCATCCACGATTTGGGTCTTCATGTCCCCACAAAGCTTCATGCAGTTATGAGCGAACCTTTAGAGTCTGTAATTAATTCGTGATCCAGTGTTGGGGTTCTAGGTGTGAGTGCATGCCCGGCTGGGGCAGAGCGCCTGAATGCAACATGAGGGAGACAGACTTGCTCTCTGCGGCCCTCGCTGCAGCCGCTGTGCCTCCTTTTGCTCTTTGCTGCTGCCATGAGCTGCTGCCCTCTGCCGTGTGCCACGCTGCCTTGCAGCCAGCTGAGTATGGACTGAAGCCTCCACAAACCGTGAGCTAACTAAGCCTCTCCTTCCTTAATCTGGGGTTCGGGTACTTTGTCCCACTAATGAGAGAAGAGTAACTGACACTAACAGATTCACTGGGCTTCAGCGTACTCATGGAAACCATCAGAAGCTGGGAACTGAGGAGCAACTAAGGTCTCTTCTGACGGTTCCCAAAGAGGACAGTCCTGGGCTATCCTTTCTTGATACGTTGTTAGTATATAAAGTAAAGGCACACATAAAAATTGCCCAAAGTATAACAACATTCTGAGTGAAGTCAAAAGTCCTGGGCTCAGGCCCACTGGTACCTGAAACCAAGAAAATATGGGACCAGAGGAAAAGCATGATGTGGGCGTCTTGCAGACAAAATCTTTTTTTTTTTTTTTTGCGGAACCGGGGATTAAACTCAGGCCCTTGCACTTGCCAGGGAAGCGCTTATTCCACTGAGCCATCTCCCTGGCCCTGCAGACAAAATCTTGACAACAGCTGTGGTCAGGTCTGTTGCTCCTGAACAAACAACCCATTTCTGGGGTACTGGCCACACGCTCTCCTGGGAGGAGGCGCGAGGATGTGCCTCTTTTGATATAGCTCACAAATTCTTCAGATTCTCCTTTATTTCTTTTCTTTCTTTCTTTTTTTTTGATGGTATTAAACAAGGTATTAGAATCCCCACACTAGGCACTGTGGCACCGGCCTATGATCACAGGATCGAGCCCAGCCTGGGCAACTTTGTGACTCTAAGACCCTGCCTCAGAATATAAAAGTGTTGGGAAGTGGCTCAACAGGAAGTTCCTGGTCTCCATCATCAGTCACAAACCCAGCCCAACCCAACTCTCGAAAGGATAACATCAGGTAGATATATATTTTTTCCTCTAATTCACCCAAGAATAGAAGAAAAGAGACGAGAGTTCCTCGACCTTTTCCAATGCAATCTGAACTCTGACGTGTGCCATGCTGTTCCTTCTTATGTTTGAACCTCTCACCCAATGCTCTTTTCAGTCCTTCCTGAGGGGAATCTTCAGAATCAAACCCGCTAGGGCAGCCAAGTGGAAATGTACCTGTGGTCTCTGCCAACTCTCAGAGCCTCTGACTCAGGGACACAGTACAGATTTTGGAAGCGGACAAGCCTGCATTCAAACACGGCCTCTTTGGTCCCTGGTGAGTGACTCCTGAAACCCTCACAGTCTTTTCTCATCTGCAGCACTGGGATCACGGCCGCCCTTAGGGCTAGAGATCAAATTGAGTGAGAGCTGAGCAGCAGCTCACTCGGTGCTAGGACACAGGAGGCCTTCGGGAAGGCCTAAGTCCCTTCTCCGCTCCCCACACCTTCTCCCACCTGGGCAGGACCCGTTTTCTAGGAGTCTTAAAGAGACAGGCCCCAGCCAGGCCTAATCCCTTTCACCATGGCCCTGTCAGAAACTTAGTAAAACTGGGGTTGGAGGAGTTGGTGGGTTTCATTCTGACCAGTCCTCCACAGCCCAGGGTCCAGGGGAGATTGATGCTACATATGCAGATGGACTGGCCAGTAGTTTTCAAGAATTACTTCATGTTCATCTGTCCCTACCTTCCTTCCTCTGGTAAGCTTTTAAATTTATTCTATATTTGCTGCTTCTGTGGTACTTTTTTTTTCTTTTTACCCCACTCAAAGGGGACCCAAATGCATACTTCACTTCAAATTCTAGGAACTCAGTGCAGACCTGTGAGTGAGTAAATGAACAAACAAGTAGAAAACAGAACAACATCCCCCCTGGGACAAGCCTTAGTAAGATATTTTCAGGAGCAGTTTCCCATCCAAGTACTAACCAGGCCTGACCCTGCTTAGCTTCCGAGATCAGACGAGATTGGGTGCGTTCAGGGTGGTATGGCCGCAGACAGGACCAGTTTCAAAAGAACACTGGAACCATGGACAGGTAAGGGAAGGAGGGTGAGTGGCTTTGACTTTCTAACAAGCCAGTGGGTAGGCCATTGAGCTCTGTGTGGGCTTGGGACTCACAGCACTTTGCGTCCCAGTTCACTGGAAGCCCAGCCTCAGTCTGTTTGTCTCCTAATTGGGTATAAGTCCTTTCCTCAAGAGTTGTAGTGAGATTATATAAACAAGTACATGTAAAGGGATAGTACTAGAATTGCCCTGGTGCATGGCCCGGGTAGCCAGGATTTTTAAGTTCCCCGGGTGGTTGTCCTACGTAGCTCTATCTGTGAACCAATTCTCGATCCAGATGGTTGACATCTGACAACTTAGTGGTAGGAGGCTTGTACCACGTTTACCTAAAAAAATACATGCTATTAAAAAAAACAAAAAACATGCTATAAAGACACCAAATACCGAAAGGCTACAGCTCTGGGTCTGAGTAGCCAGCAGACTACAGGCATCACTGAACGGCTTCTCTTCAGTGGGTCACATAAGGTGGCAGCACCAGTATTTAACAGTGAAAGATGGAATGTTTTTTCCCCTAAGATGAGGCAAGAATTTTATTTGTAGATGTCTGTTAACACTGTACAGGAATTCCTAGCCAGTGCAAAAGGCAAGGATGAAAAATGATACAGACAGAAAGGGAAAAATGGTGTTTTTGTCTCTGGGTGACATGAACATCTGTAGAGCAAATTCTAAGGGATTTGGATGAACAAAAAAAATCAGACTCCCCAGACTGATGAGTTTAGCAAGGTCAGAGAGCAGAAGGTCAGCACATGCACACCGATCACATTTCCATATACTAGCAAGGAAAGTAGGAAATTAAAATTTTACAAAGCAGTATCATTTATAAAAATTTTTGAACAGCGTGGTTAAAGAACAGATATACAAGACCCGAACATTAAAAACTCCAAAGTATTTCCCTCCGTTGCCAAGAAATATTAAACACCTAAAAATCTGGAGCATTCTCAGGTCAGAAGATTCAATATTAAGACACTGGTTCTCCCAAATCAACCCACAGCTTTGATACAACCCCAGTGGAATTTGTAACTGGGTTTTTAAGACACTGAAAATTGAAACGATTACCCCACAATGTTTAATAAGTATAAAGGACCTAGAATGCCTAACAGCGTTTTGGAAAAGAACAGTTAAATAGCTTAAATTACCTAATTTCAAGACTTCTAGAGTAGTTGAGACAAAATGACTCTGGTGGATAGACATAATTTGAGCACAAAGGAAAAAAAAAGAGTCTCATACCAGACTTACATTTATGGTCAACTAATTTTCAACAAAAGCGCTAAACCACCTAGAATTCAGTGGGACTAGAATTTTTTTCCTCCAACAAATAGTGATGGATTAACTGGATAGCCACAGGTAAGAAAATCAATCTTTCCTCTTTTCCTATATTGTATACATAAATTTACTAGAAATGTACAACAAATCTAAATATGAAAATTCAAGATAGCTCAGTGGACTGAGCACCTGCTTGGGCAAGTGCAGGGATCAGGGTTTGATCCCCGGCACCACATGCCGCGCCAGCCCTGCCCCTGAGAGCGCCGAGCCTGCCACTGAGACCAGATGTAGTGGCCCACACATGTAATCCCAGCACCGGGGAGGCTGAGACAGGAGAAGCACTATGAGTCCGAGCTGCATAGTGAGACCCTGTACCAAATATATAATAATAATTAAACACAAAAAAGGAATGAAGTTTTAACACTTGCTACAACATGAATGGACTTAAAAATCATAATGCTGAGTAGAAGAAGACAGTCACAAATGAACCATATTGTGCTTACACGAAAAGTTCAGAACAGGCGAATCTGCAGAGGCAAAGGTCACTGCCTAGGGCTAGGAGTGGGCTTCGAGAAAGAAGTGTGACTGCGGAGAGGGGGGAGCTTTCTTTACGGGTAATGAAACTGTTCTAATGCAAATATGGCGACCCTTTCCTAACTCCGTAAGTACACTAAAAACCAACGAATGGTATACATTAAATGGATGGATTGTATTGTATGCAAAGTATACTTCAATGGCGACATTTAAAGATAGAACATCGACATGGTATCAAAAATAGGAGAATGGGAAGAAGAATATAACTCTAAAACTGACTTGGTGACTTCTGCAAAGAGCAAACTTCAGTTCATCTTCCTTGTTTTCTATCAATTCATCCCAAAGGCTTAATACCTGAGGTACAGCGGATGTCTTTGGTTTTATGTTCTCATTTATCCAAGTTCTACCTGCATATTCCCCGCCCCCCCGCCAATGCCGTCATTTTTTCTTTATTTTTCTCTTTAGTAATACACACTTGCCCGCCTTGCTGCTCTGCAAGACATTATTAATGAAAGAAAAAGACGCGGCACTCCCCTAGACAAACTGCAGAGTGCAAAACTTGTATCCAGCAGTCTTGGTCACCTTCTCACCACTGAGACACGATACCTGCTGCCCACAACTTACAAGAGGCGAGGTCGGTTGGCCTCGTGGGGGAAAGGGCACAGTGGAAGAGCCAGGTGGAGAAAGCTGCTCACATCATAGGGGTCAGGAAGCTTGGGAGAGGGCAGGAGCCAGCGAGGGAGACGCAGCCCTTGAGCTCCTACCTCCAGGGAGCTGCCCGTCCGACCCGCTCCCACTTCCGGGCAGCATACATGGCTATGGACTCATTAGAGAATAATCCAT